ACCCCCAAACCCTAAACCCCTTGAACCCTGAAGTGTCGTGAGACTCTCTGGCCGGTCCTTCAACCAAAAGCCGCGCTTTCGGAAGCTCGCATCGGAGGCGAAAAGAACCTGCTTTCAGATGGGTAGTTGTCAAAATTATGGTCCCTTTTGGGGTACCCTAAATAATAGGTGCCGTATTATAATAAGGCTCCAAAAAGAAACCCTAATTTTGACAACCACCCAGATGTAGTACCTAGAAGGACGGCTTAAGCGATCCCGATAAAACCATGCACCAGCATGGAAAAGCACCTTCTCATCGAATAAGTGTACCCGATGACAGGCTGGAACGGCAACGACTGAGGAAGCGAGCAGGCTAGCTTCTGAAGGGCACGAGCAGGTCACAGAAGTCGAACATCCTAACTAATAAGGACCGTCACGACACATCATCATAAGCCAGCCGGACTTTGCAAGCATGGAGATCGGTTTGCAACGAGGCAAACATTCCGGGCTTCGTGGCGAACTGGTGTCGTCGATTGACGTGATGAGAATCCATGATCAGGTCGACCACTGATTCATCAACCCTCCTGGGCTTAAAGGACCCTGGCACCGTATCAGGGCCCAGAAGACGCTCACCGGCGAGCCCTGAGCGATAGCTGAGAGCCCCAGGCCCGATAGGGTCGCCAAGGTGATCACTGATGCTGTCAGAACACTTGGTGTGAGGGCAAACTTCGCTGCGGCAGTGCTTTTGTCTTTGACGGCACGACCAGCTACACTGTGGAAGGTTTTTCGGTCGTGGTGGCGCCTGTTACATCACTCTGCAGCTTCCTGCCTTAATCCCGCTGCTCCGCTGATTTCTGTTCCGGGTCCTGCTATAAGTAGGCTCGAGTACATACAGCGGCAAACCCTTCTNNGATAACCGCATCCTGGAACGGGGTGTAGGGAGAGGATCTTTTCATCTTGGGTCTACATTACTTTGTGCATCCAGACTCAGATCCTGCAGCAAGGCATTCAAACGTCTCAAGTACCCCATATAATATAGTATAGTATAGTAT